AACGCCTCTTTGAATTTAGCATTTTTCAAGTCATTACTGAAATCAGAAGAACGTATTTGATCTGCTCCCTCGATGTGGAATTGTGTGACTTGCATCCCTCTCAGAGAATGTTCACTATCTTTGATCGAAGGAAAAATATACCTATCAAAGGCGATTACTACAACTTCCGCATCATTCGAACAAAACATACTTAGAATTTTAGTGGATATGTTTCCGTAAGTAGCTGGAATTTCCCTCATCAAATGAAGCATAAAAAATCCATCGAACACCTTCACGTTAGTCTGCTTCGGAATATGCGGCTCAACCTGCTGCTCGAGTATTTTCAATAGAGCTGCCTTATTAGTTTTGCAGATGGTGCCGTCTATGTGACACATTGATAATGGCACCGGCGTTAGAGGATATATCAAAACTTTTTCTATATCTAGAGATTTCTTCAAGGATATGCATAAAAATTGACCGAACAAGTCACGTTGCATACGCAGTTCAACAACTTTTCCTGACACTGGAATTTTCTTTTTTTGCATATTATCTGTGAAATTAAGCACTTTATTTCTTTTTATGGGTTTTTCAAATCGATTTTCATCTTCTACACATTCTTTAATAAAATTATCTCGTTGTTCATTACCCATTATTTCGACATTAAGTAAGAATCTTTCGATATTTTCTTGTACCGTTTGGCCCGTCGAAATATTAAATAAATAATTTTTATCTAAATCAGCAGAAAATGGATCAATGTTTTGTTTAATATTATCAATGAAATTATGAACTTGTTGAGAATTCTTAGTGATTCTGCTCTTCTGCAAGTCGGCAGTGATATCCTGAACTTTTCTCAGCCCTGTCTGGTCCATCGTATGACTTATTATTGTCGATCTCAAAGTGTGACTTTTGCACCAACGCTGTCGAGCAGATATCGAATTTGTCATGTGACTCACACCTGTAAGTTTATTGGCAGCATCGGCATTTATTGTCTGCTCTAAAGTTAAATCGACTGGTTGTCTTGAGTTCGGTTTGTCAGTTCTCTTCACACCAAATGTTCCCATTTCAAGTTGCTTCTTCAATCCTGGATGAGTTTGATCAACTTTCAGCAAATTATCCTGGTATTTCACTAAGTATCTAGAGTAGTTTTGTTGATTAAAAGCGAAACACAAATTTGCTATTTTCGACAAGATAGATGTGAACAGTTGCAAATTTCCACTTCGTACACTTGCATTCAGTGTTAAGTAGTAATCAATAAAAGTAACGTACATCATGTAAAACTGTGGAGTTTTACCGAGGTCTCCTTGCAGTGTTTGCTGTTTGAATTGTTGGTATTTATCGAATAAATCCTGTAGGTTTCGTGGCAGTACTCGAGGTTGATCAGATCTTTCTTCTTTGAATTGAGTTAAATATATTTTCATGTCATCGCTACATTCAATATTTTCCCGGTTCAAAAATTCTTCAAAATGTATAATTTGCAGGGCTAATGATGCCATTGGATGCAGTCGTTTGCACCTGTTAAAATGTTTTCCTGCAATAAAACTGTTTACAGATCCGTTCGCCAGCATTTGCGCGTTGACCATAACTGTCGTAACACCACAGTTGTCAATAAATTTACCAACTGCTTTAAAATAAGACATCATTATGTGAAAGGATCCTACATGAATAAATAAGTTGTCGTAACGTGGTTTTTCGGTACACTGAATTTGAAGTGCAATTTTAGTTATGGCAAGATCATATGTTACTTGCATATACTTTTCGCCGCATTCTCTAGCGACCTGTTGACTCTGCTTCATAGTTTCTAAAACAACTGATTTGTCCGTCGGTGAGGCGTTTATGGTGGTTAAGTAGCAGAGCTTTTGCGTTGGAGCAGTGTCCTTGTAGATCAAGCTATTGAAACCAACCCACATCGGTGTTTCGGGTATTTGAAGGTAGTGGGAAAGCATGAACGCAAAATTAATTTGTTTTAACCATTCTGAACTGGAGTTTGATAAATTCGATGAAACATCTGATGCAGGCTGTAAACGTTCGTGAAGTTTTGGTCTCTTATTGTATGGTTCTAATTCGTGAGTAATTGTGTCGAAAGTCCGCCTCCGTTTATTACTCTTTTCGGAAGAGCCTGCTGTACTTCTTACAGCTCTTGTGTCCTCATCATCCTGCTCGATAGAATTATCAATATTTTGAAAAATTATACCCACAGTGTCGTGCAGTGTGTCATGTCCAGATGATGTATCAACGAATCGATCGAAATTATCGAATGCGACACCAGTGCATAGATTTCCTGAGCGAATGATGCCTTCAGGACAAATATCAGAACGAATGCTAGAAGTAAACGTGGCTTCAGTTTCGATACCCTCCAGACTTGTATAGCTACAGCAGTGGCCATATCGGTTGATAATATTAACAATCTTCTTGCTATTAGTTAAACTTTTCAGACTCAAACCAAGGCATATATGTTTCGAGGGTTTTATTCGTCCATTCGTCACTGCATATATGATATCCTCGGAAAAAGATTTTGCTAATCTATTTCCATTTTCGCCACGCTTACGTCGATAATTTGGCCCGCTAAGTAGATTTAAATAAAAATCAATCAAGCTCTGTGGAATATCACACTCTCCTCTAATCAAATCAGTTGAATTGAGCTGATCTGGCAATTGGCGTCGCTTAACATTTTGTATTTCCTGTCTTAAAATCAATGCTGCATGAAATAAAACTTCCTCTTTTTCGATCAGATCAAATTCTTTCTGTACTACAACGCCTTTGTAGGGTTTCACTAGTTTTTTATCATTGTGTGACACGACGGTTATTTTTTTTGAGAATGTAGCTAGAAGCCGATTTTCTAGATGGTATGGCTTCATCGTATACGCATCTGTGTTTGCCTCATGTCTTTCCAAATATTCTATAAATATTGCGTTCAGAAACGAGAGAAAATACGACTGGTTTTTGATGATGATATTTTCTGTAACAAATTCACATACTTCCCTATATGCCCGAGAATGAATATCGCGAGCTATATGCCATTGTGACTTTGGCTTCTCTTTACTTTTTTTCGATGAGACTGTATTTTCGTATTTTTTTCGACAAATAGCATGATAAAATATATATTTTTCTTCTATCGACAAATTATGCAATTTTTGAACGAATTGTATATCTTCCAAGTTCATAGCGATTTCCTGTATATTTGACAATGCCTCTGCCTTCTCTAATACATGCATTGGTTGCTCACGCCCTTGATGTTTTTTCCTATTCTTATCACAGAATAAACAAATAGGATTATGTGATACCTCTTGAGCAATGCCAGATACGTTAACATCGTCAACATTGGCCTCTTCGCCCGCAGCAACATGATCGTCTGTATCGACATGTTCGGGTTCAACATTGTCGTATTCAACATCAACCTCTCCTTCTCCTTGAACTGCAGCCTCTTCTCTACCCTCATCTTCACTATCACCTTCAGTTCCAACGGCATGCTCTTCTTCCATAGCACTATGGTGGATAAAAAAGAAATGTATAGTGAATCATGCATGTATGAAATAGAAAACCTCTTGGTTGGGTATTGGCCCTACAATTAGCCCAATATTTTCGATTCGTACTACTGGGGAAGATAAAAGCACTTACTCTATACTTCTTGAGGTTGAGGGTACCTGCTTATACGGATCATATCCTCTCTGTTTAGGCGGTAATGCAGTAAAACGGCTATGGCACTGACTGTGATACACTTGAAAAGTATTCGGCTCTTTCGGTAACACAACATTGGAGAAACTCAAACCAGCGTTTTTCCGAATTTTCAATATTGGTATGCACTTAGTTATCTTATTTGCATCAAAAAGATTCAATTTTCCGCCTTTTTTGGAGCAAAATACACAAAAGGGATGTATGTTGGACATTGTCGCAGCTTCGATTGGAATATATGTCATTTAGACAAATTTGTACACATCAAATGAACGCCGTTTCCAAGAGATTAAAAAAATGATGAATTGAACTCTGATGCGATCACTGCACTCCCCTTGGCTAAATATATCAGATGATCACAATTTTTTTGCAGTTTCATTTTGAATTTATCTGTGTGGCCAAATTAGTCGGAACATAAATATTTTTTTCATTATGAATATACCACAAAATACTTCTGCTATTTTTGCAAGCATGTTTTTTCAGTGTAGGTAACAAATTTTGAGCCACCGAACATCAGAACATCTCTGATTCTGAGCAGAGGCGCCAAATTCTAGTAGGAGTTGGCCGAGAGAGGGCAGTGTCGGTTCACACCTGTCCATCAGCACATATTCGATGATAAATCTGTGGATTCTGCCAGCGCATTTGATGCATGGACAGCGCGCTGTGTTTAATGAGAGAAGTATAGATACCTGATACCGCAAAAGCTGATATTTGGTGTACCTATAGTTGAAATAATGGGTTAAACAAAAAAAAATCCCGCTCATCATTTAGTGAGGGCAAAGTGTCCAGCTGATGCAGTCAAAGATACGATGCGCCCGAGATATCCATGCGCAGCGTATTTCACTGCATCAGCTGGGCACTTTTCCCCCACCCAATGTAAAGCTGGATGTTCTCATCGTTTATGTTATTAATTTAACTATTTGTTCATCAAATTTCAGCTTTTGCGGTATTAGTTTACTCAGCGCATATTTTTAACTTCTTTACGTGAAAAGCTGGAGCATAATCCCCCAGTATAAGTTCGGCTGGATACGTTTTTTGATCTATTTGTATGATAATCAACATGTTAACAAAGTTTCAGCTTTTGTGATATCAGTTTTTTTTTATTATAATTTTACGTGTTTGGGACGCTGCTGCAACTACACCCCCCGGAAGTGCGCCAGCTGGAGGCCGATTTCCTTACTAGTGATACTAAATGAAGCTCAGAAAACATTTTCAGCTTTTGTGCTTTTGGTCATTGAAAAAGGTCGCTGGCTTCCGGGCTAATTGTTATTAGTCTAGTCAGCTTACCAAGACACGGTATGAACCACATAGCTTCTGATGTATTTATTCATTATTAATGAAGTGGAACTCACCAAAATTGAATCCATTAGTTGAGGAAGATTGCTCATATTTGGATGCAAAGGCTCTGATGCTTGTCGAGGCCCTCGAAATCTGAAAGCATACAAATATCATTCAGTCTTATGCACAGTGCAGTATAATCCAGTAGTTGAATGTCAATTGTATTGTCATGAATATTCATTGATTTATCAGACTTTCAGAACAGACAATGGTGGAGAGTATTGTTCCAAGAAATTTGATGATTCTCCTACGCCCGCTAGAATTGAGCATCAGACCAGTGAACCTTATACACCCGAATAAAATGGCGAGGCTGAGCGGCTCAACCGTGCCCTAATGGAACGTTCTCGATGTCTCTCGAGTGAATCAGGACACCCAAATAGTTTCTGGGCTGAGGCTGCCTATAACACTGTTTGCCTAATCAATCGTTCCCCAAGTTCATGTGTCAAGAAGACTCCGGAGGAGATTTGGACTGTAGCGCACACTCGCATTTTGGGTGCAAAGTATGTGAACATATTCCTGATGTAAGAAGAAATAAATTGGATCTGAAATCGGAACCCTCCAGTTTTGTTGGATATAGTCTCAATTCTTAAGCCTATAGACTGTACAATCCTGAACTCAAAACTGTCATAGTGTCAAGAGATGTGATTTTCACTGAGAAATGGAAAGTAAATTCACTTTTGAAGAAATCTTCTGAGAAAAATACATTATTTTACTTTCCTGAACCGGATAGCGAATTGAATTCAAATTCGTCTGTTGAAGATTCATCTACATAAGAAAGTGATGATCGTTCTGACTTTTTTTATTTCACTGACGAAAAACACTCAAATCATGAGGATGATCAATCTGATCCAGATTCATCAAGGCAAACAACAAATCCTCGTGACCAAAATTTGCGAAGAGGAGACCAAATTAGAAGAGTATCACAGACCCACGATGATTATGTGAGTTATTCAGCTTTTGCTGAAAATTTGAACAACCCAACTTCTGTCAAGGAAGTGCTGGCAAGCCAAGATAAAGAAAACTGGCTATGGCGATGTATCTTGAATACACAGCCCAGATGGACAATGGCACATGGAAATTGGTGAATCTTCCTGAAGATCAAAAACCCCTAAGAAGCAAATGGATTTTTAAAATCAAGTAAGATGCCTCTGGTTGAATAACGCACTATGAAGCACGACTTGTTGTTGAAGCTCATGGCCAAGAGAGAGGGAGCGATTACGAATAGATGTATCTTCCAGTAATCCGATACAGCTTCAATAGATATTTTCTGGTCTTAGCTGCTCAAGACAACCTTGAAATAGAGCAGATGGATGCGGTTACAGTTTTCCTCCAGAGTGATCTCACAGAAGAAATATACATGCTCCAGCCTGAACTCTATGCATCGAACTCAAATAAAGTATGCAATCTGACAAAGTATATCACGTAATATGTGTTGTAAGAAGCATACTACGCACGAATGGAAAAGTTACGCGCGTAAGCGGAGCGGCGATTGCGTAATTGCTTTACAACACGCATTACGTACTGAACTTCACCTACTGCTATAATATAGTACATCAAAAAAGTTTGGAGAAACAGTCTGAATTATAATTCTTGACAGTTATGTCATCCGCTGTTGACGGTGATTACGCGATGCGATCATACAATACCTATACTGTGCGTGAAGAGCTACTCACTGAGGCTGAATCCCGTGTGTTCCTCCCTACTTGCTATAGTGGCCGTAAGAGAGTATATATGGTCTTAAACAGGTAAGTTGAATTAGGAATTTGAAGTGATCTAAAGAAATTTAAGCTCAGGCAATCCAAATTCCATTTTTGCATATACTATCATATTCAAGATAATAAAATTCTGATAGTGATCGTTTAAGGGTGAACTGAATAGCCGATTGATAGGCGACCAGCAAATTTATACAGAAGATATATTGAAAAAGTTTAACATGCTCGATTGTAACCCCGCGGATACGCCAATTTTTTCCAATGAGAAAGTATCTAGGTAACAAGCTCCCAAAACTCCAGGCGAAATATTCAAGATGAGGTCTGTCCCCTATCAAGAAGCAGTTGGCAGTTCTCTTTTTGCCACTCAAGTTTCTCGGCCAGGTGTTAATTTTGCGGTTAGTCATGTAATTCGCTTCAATCAGAATCCTGGAAGGGTCCATTGGACAGCCGTGTAGCGTATCATGCACAAGCCCATTGGGAACTAGGATTCAATGGTAGAGACAACAACTTCACTGATATTACTGGATTGAGTGACTCCGATTGAGCAAGTGTCGAATATGAGCGACGTAGTGTCACCGGCTACATTTTCCTGAAATATAACTCGCCTATCTCGTGGGCCACTAAGCGTCAGCCTAACAAAGCTCTGTCAACTACTGAAGCTGAGTATATCGCTATGTCAGCAGCAATACAGGAGGCACTCTGGCTCCAAGGTCTGGCTAGTGAATTATTTTTCACTACTGCCAAACAGCCGACTATACTCAATGTTGATAACCAGGGCGCTCAGGACCTGGCTCAGAATGGTGCATAAAAGGCTCGAACAAAGCACATTGATATGCGACATCATTCCATACAGGAACGTATTCTGCGTCAAGAAATAATGTTGCAACACGAACCAACACAAGAGATGCTAGTGGATTCTTTCACGACATCTTTGAATCGTGATAAATTTCGTACATTTTTGGTTCGCCAAAACTTGTCCCAAATTTGGAGGGTGTTGTGAAGTAATTTGGGATATGTAGTTCATTTCAGTAGTTGAATGCCGATTGTAATGTCATGCATATTCATTGATTTATCATCACATATTATCAGTTCTATAAAAGGTATAATTGTGTCTCATTTGATTCTCTGCTTCTCACTGGAGATCCATTTATCTCAGAACTCAATTCTTCAGGCTTCAAGATGAAATTTTTCCCTAGGAGTATACAGGGTAGTCCATATTTTTCATCAATATCTGAGAGAACAAAAAAGTGATAATATTCGAATTAGGCGCGTTTCGTTGTTTCAAACATAACTTATATGGATTTTCTTTCGTGCGCTCCAAGAGATGAAAACCGGAAGAGCCAAGAATGTAACAGAAATTCATATGGGCGCCAATACAGGTATAACATCGGTCTTTCTCATAAGTATTGTACGGCAAATTACTTAAAATAACGAATAGGAATATTCTCATACCAATTCAGAGAGTGATCATTACTTTGAATAGCTGTGTATTATCAAAACTCGATAGATATTCAATTCCAGGCAATGAATCGAATTGGTATTTACGACATCGAAGTATCAAAATTGTGGACAGTCATCCACAAAGATGAGTGGTGGTGATGTGGGGATGATACATAGGTGGCCGTTCGAGTCATTCTGGTGCTAACCTTTGCAGAGAGCAGATCGTTATCATTATCATAATTATTGTAGAGAAAGTGTCAGTGCTGTTCAAATATAGTTCGTTAAGATAATGGGTATTTCAATAGTTGTACCAGCTACCGACTACCTCAGAAGTTGGTGCAATGAAAACGCCAGGGAAGATGCCAAATCATTCTAAAGGAAGAAGACTCTAGGAGATTTCGTTCCCAATCGCCATCGGTGACTTTTTCGGCTTCAGATAGATCGACAAGGCATAAGAATAGACAAAACTCCAATCGTAAGTCTCTCAGAAGTCGGAGGCATAAAAGGTCTCGAGACGATGTAATTTCTGCATGCTCGAGTCATGCGAGCAAAAATATCTTGCCAAATAGTCATGTTGAGATAACATCAGTTATTCCGGAGTTTGATTCTATGGAATCACAAATAGAAAAATCAATCGTAATTTCAGAACAGAAATTTCAACTGGAAAGATAGCTACCTGGTTCATCATGCTTTCAATGAAATGAGAGGTACGGCTAAAACCTGGTATCTGAGTTTTATCGAGAGTGAACTAGGCTGGTCTGAATTTTCATGGGACGAATGGAATAACAAACTACTTTGTACCACGTTTCGGAGTAGACGAACACGCGCTGACACCGTACAACCGCAACATGATCTCTAGAGACGACTGTACTAATTACAAATTGAGAAGAGGAGCCAGTTGCCTTTTACAGTTGATAAACTTCAAAAGGAGAAAAGAACTATCATTTATTCCAACCACAACTTTTACCTTCAGTTAGAGCTTTGGAAAAAATCCAGATATTATCTGATCAGGTGAAGAATGCGTTAAGTAGTACCAAGAATCGGTCGATGGATTCTTTTCCTACAAGATTTCACTTTTCATTTGAATGAGGAGCACAAATTCAACATACGGATGCCCGAAGCAGAATCACAGTTGGTGCTACTGAAGTCTACAATCGAAGAGTTTGTGTAAATTATGAAGACGATTACCTAAGAGAGGGCCGAAGTAGAGATAAGGACATATCAAAATTGAGGAGAATTGTTCCATCGGGTGATCAGATAAATAATAGAGCTGTAGTAGGTATCTCCCTGTAATTAGAACTTTTGAAGTTGTCAAGATTATTGAGATTTGAAGATAAAATATAGACTTCAATCAATTCTAAGTCCGATATATTTATTTATACATCCACAATTGGTGACCCCGAACGTTAGTAACACGACATGGTGAAGTATATTCAGAACCTGAAGAAAGAGCAGATCATAAATCTGTTGAAATTTTTCAAAATCAGTACCGGAGGTACCTTTGGTGACGTGAAGTTGAAGTTGGAAGCATATATATTGGAGAATTACCCAGAAGTGAAGAATGTTTCCGATTTTGATCTATCAGAATTACTAGAGGAAGCTTCAATACCGACACAGGAACCTGAAGTGATCAACCAGGACCTTTCAGCGAAAGTTAATTGTTTGGAGAATTTATGTAGTCAACTCATAAAGAAACTCGACGAGAATAATGAAAAACTAGACACATTTGAGAAATACCTGAAAGATCTGGAAGGAAATAAGAACGTAGGCAATCATCTCCAAAAAGATGTCACATCTCAATCAACCCATATCGTTTCAAATACACTGTTAAGCATCGATCCAGTCATCAATGAAGACCTTGAGAAGCAGTACAATCGTTCAAAATCATTAACATTACCAGGGTTTTGGAAACAACAACCAGAATTATGGTTTGATACAAAA